TTACTCTCTTGTTACACCTCTAATCGTCGGCACTTATATGACCTTATTGTGTTGCAAGTGCTGTAAAATTTTAACTAAAACATAAGATCGTGCTCTTGTGGTCTAGAGGTTACGGTGTCCGCCTCTCATTCAATAGGAGGTCACAGGTTCGAATCCGGATAGCGAAGGGAAATGTTCTTGTCTAAGATATCCTTTCACTTCCTTTCCTGCTCTTTAGCCATTCGTCTCTACCTTCAGCCCCCAACCCCCCCCCCCCCCCTTTTCTCCTTCTCTAACTATATTCTGTCGTCTTCTTTCGTCTCCATTTTCTGCCCCCACCCCCCTCACCTGCCCCGTCCGCTCCTGACTCATTCTGCAGTATTTCTACTGCTACTCCTTGGCTCCTAACTGTCGTCTTCCAACACCCACCCCTGATCTTAAGGTAGGCACAACTATTCTCACCTCAGAAGACTCGAAAATAGTCAGAAACATTCTCATCTTCCACGGAAGAATACAGTGCAGGCGGCCGAAAAAATAAGTTCTCAAAGGCTAACAAACTGACAATATTATTCGCCATAATTAAATAGACAGATTGACAGGAAGATATGTACGGGTGTAGTTATGTTAGATATCTGGAGTAGAACACGCAGGAGTAAGCGCATGTAGAAGCAGCTAAACTGTGGGGGATCTTGTTTGTTTGTTTGTTTTAGTAGAGTTTTTACGGCGTTCGCAACTGCATAAGGTCATATGAGCACCAAAGGGTGGATGTCAACAGAGAAATCCATACAGGGATTCAGGCTTACTCTGCTCACCTCTCTTGCTTCAACAGCACAAAGTCTGCGTTCACTATCAAGGCACCCCGGAAATAGCGAGCAACAAGAGTGTGACAAACATGCAAAAGAAGTAGAGGAAAAATTAAGATAGTAATAATTGGGAAAGAAAAGGCAGCAGTTCCACGTTGCAGTTCAGGCACAGTTATGAGCATGATATTGATGAATAGCTCAACTTTAAAGGTAGGTGGTTGGAAGGCGCTACAGGTAGGTCGTACTTCTTTACTTTCCCTCTGTCGTTTCTATCCGTCTCTTACTTTGACTATTTTCTTTCCCTCTGTTGTTTCTGTCTTTCTGTCTTACTTTTCCCCAGCATTAAAAGGCAATCATTAAGGCAATGCGCTTCTCTTTATTCTAACAAACAAACAATTAACTTTTAACCTTCTCTCTCGTCTAACGATTATGCAAAGAAACTACATGAAGGCCTTTTTTTATTTTGTCTTTATGGCAGTGCTTTTTGTTAAAAATGAGGGTGTATGTGTGAGGGGGGGGGGTGTCTCTTTTCATTTTCATGAGACAGGTAAGTGTGGGGGAATTGACGGGGGAGGGGGGAAGGTACACAGGCAAGTATACAAAACGTCAGCTTTCACTGTGGTGTCCGTGTTAGGGTGAGCATTTAAGGATACACGCACACCATACACCCACATCCCTTCCTCGTTACAATCCGCTTTTCAAACAGAAAATTGCTAAGGTAGGACATTTAAATCGATCAGCAAGATAACATTTTTATGAACAAATATTAGTTTTTTGTTGTTGCAGCTCTTTTTTTTTTTCAAAACGTCTCTCTGTTCAAAGCATAATTCGTTTAATTCTATGCTATTGCCCTTTAAAGAGCCCACGAAAGAACACAATTACCATATATCCCCTGGTAACATATAAACAGCTGTTTCACGAGACGGCGCCTAGGGCTGGGCATTAGGTAAATTAACACAATAAATGAACTTGGCAGCTGCTGGGATCATCAGAAAAGCGTAAACGACTTACCAAAAGCTTCCCTCTCCTATATACGAGTGTGGACTGTGGCTACTTATTGCAGGCAGAACGTAATTTTCCACTGAGCACAGAATAGAAGCGAACGTTGTTTTTGGGGGGGGGGGGTTCTTTCACCTGCAACAACAATTTCACAAAAAGTAACTCTTGTTATCCGAAGAAATCAGGCTTGTTCGGAGCGTAGGCATTCTGAGATTAAAGCGAAACGAAAGAAATCCGACTCACGCAGAAGATGACTAGCTATATCCCGGATTCGTTCATCTTAAACCGCTGAAAAATTGAGAGTCGCAGCTAAAACTTTACACAGCACTGGCGAAATAAGGATCGTAGACGCTCTTAGTAAAAATTCGAACACAAGTACAACTTCCACTTCTTTTGCTCTGTATCTGAATCAGGAAAACGTAATCCAGTCTTCTTTTTTTTTCACTCAAGAATGTTTGCAGAGGAGATTATAAAAGAAAGTAGCAGGGTTTTTTTTCTTCTTTCTTTTTGATCTCCGGGATTATTTTGGCGGTAAAACGGGCCAATCTGGAGAAGTGTGCCTGAAATCGAAACAGCTCGCTCAGTGCGCGGGTGTGCACGGAAAGAGAAGCGAGTCGAGCTGTCCCCCGACACGCGCTTCTCACGACAGCGAGGGAAAGTTGGCACAGCTCGTCTGCGCGAGATCGATCGAGCAGACGACAGGGAGAGCTCAGCGTCGGAACAGAGCAGAAACTCGATGCTCTGCGCTCTCTCGGTGGTGTTGAGTGGATGCTGTGTGGACAGATTGATGTCATTGTTCGTTTTGTTTTAGTAGAGGTTTTACGGCTTTTATGGTGCTCGCAACTGCATAAGGTCATATGAGCGCCAAAGGGTGGATGTCAACAGAGAAGTTCTTACAGGCAATCAGACTTACTCTGCTCACCTCTCTAGCTTCAACAGCACAAAGTCTGCTTCGACTATCAATGCACCCCGGAAATAGCGGGTCACAGCAAAAGAAGTAGAGGGAAAATGACGATAGTAAGGACTAGGAAAGAAAAGCAGCAGTTCCCTGTTCCAGTTCAGGCACAGCTATGAGCATGACATTGATGAATCAGCCCATTACAATTACAATTCTACGGTGCATAA